CATCAGGACTACACTGTGTCCTTTCATTCACGTTATATCGATACCTATTTTAAAGAGGTAATTCTTGCTGATGATGTTATGATTCATAAATATCCTAACATTGATGAATTTGCTTTAGGTGAATAAATCCTAGTTCGTTCATTTTGTGAAGTTAGATTGCACAAAAGGTAAGTGCAATGATTTTTTTATACTGTACGGGGCGAAAATATTTACTGTCAATTTTTCTGATATATATTACCTAATCGCATATAACTAACACCAGTTGACCGATGATGCGAAGCATCGAAGCAAAGCCTCTTTTCAAGAGTTATACTCGAGAATCATCTGAACACATAGTTAGATTTAAAATATGTAGCCATGATACAAGTCTGATTATAGGCTAGGCATTTCGAACAGTTAATTTCGAAATCATCAATGCGGTGAAAGATTTTACTTGTCCTATTTTATCCATCCCTATCTTGCTAAAAAAGGTGAAAAATCTTTTGGGTTCTCTAGTTTCCGGAGTACCATCAGGGATTACATTTATTTTTAATCGAATCTGTGGTTTCGAATTGGGTCTCATTATTATCTGTAAAATGTTCTGAGGGAGCGGGGGAAGTCTCGCTGGCCATATCGATATATTAGATGGCTTAATAAGTAAATCCCGAAAGCTAAGTATAATTTGTTTTTATATAGTATATTTCTCGCCATTAATAAAACCAATTTCAGATATTATGAAAACTAATTTCGGATTTGGTGATCCGTTCATTGATAAATTAATTGCTTTGGATCGGAATCACTTAATTTTTACAGGTAATCGTAGATGATTTCAGCTGAAAAGCAAAGATTAGCATTAATTTCACAAAACAACGACGAATTAGCTTAGTCTCTTGCACATCTTACAAGCGTGCCTTTTTTCAACACGCGTTATATGATCGACATGCCAGCAATCGGCATACATAGCAATGATTTATTGCAAAGCAATGGCTCTTTGAGCCTACAATTTCGGGTTTGTATATCTCGGATGACTATTATTATCATGCACAAAAATTTATTATTGGAAAAAGCAATTATAATATGTGATCAATTAAATATGACATCGCTCCCCTGAGGTCTATTATAATCACTGGTGGAACAAGGTGGGTTTCCCCTGACGGTAAAAATGTGGGTTAAAATATGGGCAAATTTTACCCAAAAATTGTACAGTTCCATATATAGTTTCCCCTGCAGATAAATCTAATGTCAAATTCGGGGTAAACTTTGGTCCAAACTAAGGTTAATTATTGGGTGATAATGTTAATTATTGGTTGATATAATAAGGGTTTGTTATTGCATTTTTAATCGGAGAGTATTGGGATTAGTTGGTCTATCATTCAATCTACTACATTGGGCAGAATCAAAGTATAGCAAAATAATTTTCTGAGCATTTTTTCTTAGTCACTCAACCTAGATTTCCTTAATAAAAACTCGAGTTATGGGCGAGTTTACAATTTTTGTCTTTTTGCGCGAAAAAATTTGGATCGTTGATCTAAATATAATTGGGGGAACACTAAAGCCGGGTAGTGCAATTCGGATCGAGTCAATTCAGATATGATCTGGGTTGATTTGATCCGATTTGCAAGTCATTTTCACATGTGAAAGAAAAAAATTTTGTTTATTACAAGGATATAGTAAACACATCAATAAATATTATTTATTGCAAGGCAGTGTTGCTTTTTTTAAGGGAGAAGAGGAAGGAGAAGAGGAAGAGAAAGGGGATTAAGATTATTAAGAATATATTTTTGGTATCAAATACAAGTTATAAGTGTTATAATAACTTGCCATTTCTAATATTATACGTATATTCTTTATATAATAATAACATATAAGAAACCAATTCTATGCATACTCATCATTTCTAATATCATATATTTTTCATTTCATTTCTCTATCACATAACTTATTTAATACATATACTCAACATTTTTACAATTTTTTATTTGTTTTTTTTTCTAGTTCAATTTGCTGACTTTCTCGTTTCATCACTTTATATTCATCTATCATTCTTATTTAAGTTCTTCAATATTTTTACTTTAATTATGTTATAAGTGATCAATCAAAAATGCGCAAAGTTATTCAATATTGATATACCATTTGAGATTTCAGAAAAAGAATTCTGTGAGGATTTGTAGCTACTCATTTCCAATATATGGATATAATATAATAGTTGGAAGTGTGTCAATGATGATTTTTGAATCATCTATATCTGTCATCTTGCAAAACACAATGAATCAAGCATACACAAAGAAGATATCTCCATAGAAAAATAAAGAAAAATAAGTAAGCATGATTCTGGTGAATGTAATACAAAAATTAAGATAATACACATCGCTATTCTTCAAATAGTCAAAATTGAGTATTTTAAAAATGTGTCAAATCATACATATTTAATCAATAATAATAACAAGATTAAGTGACCTGAGATCATTAGAAAATTAGTAGCTGATAAAGTAAGTAAATTATATGTTCCACTCATCATCATAGCTACAGTCAAAAAGATTACGAATAAAGAAGATCTTGATATCATAATTCAAAACCTATGCAGAATCAAAGTCACAAATATCTAATAAAAACTATGCAGACTGCTGATGGCTCATCTCATTGGCGAACATGATCTAGAAGTTAATATTAAAAATACGCTCAATTTTTTAATAAGCAAGAATTATCAAGTCAAATGCTTCTCAATACAAAATGATACACATGCAGACACATACAATATCATGCAAAAATTGTTCCAAGGTTTTATTTTTGCAAATCCTGGACAGTTAGAGAAATTGTGACTTTTTGGGTGACTAACACTCATAGACTTCACACATAACATCAATAAATATTTATAGTGTCTCTTTATATTGTATGTTCATGATAGTCACGGATACTAGAATGTTGATACTTATTTTCTTATAAGCACTAAAGATAGTGGTACCATTACTAAAGTGCTGAAGACAATTTGTAGACTTGCATCTTATTGGCACTCTTGATATATACTCTCTGATCAGAGCAGCATGAAGATCAATAGCATCATGAATACTTTCCCAGGAATTGTACGTGATGAATAAAACTGTGATATAATTCTTTGTACTATACATGTGATATGTATATAGTTATGCAAGGTCTACTATCCAGCAATACGTAATCAATTGGCCTTGGCTATATATAAATGAACAAGAATTAGCTGCAAAGAGATCATCCATAATACTATCACCGCTTGTTCTGTATCTGATATCATTAACTATATTAATTGAAATTATACCAGAAATATAGAAAAATAGGTACTCTGAACACGACAACATTCACTCCTCCTATTGCAAGTCACCTCAACTAATCTATTAGAGTTCTTCCATAGCAAGCTTAAAAAAATAATAGCTAAAGAGTTTGGTCTTATAGGTATCATGCTTGTATAATAATATTTTTTATTGTAATTCTCTACTCACCAAATACTTGTATTAATATTAGGAGTGTGTCACAAGATTACTGATCTTGATAGTAAAAGGCAACTTGACTCTGAAAAAACTGCCTTCAATTTCCATCAGAAATAAATTTCTATAGCTAATCTTGATAACAAGATTTTGGAGAAAGTTCACAAATTTCTCTACCCCATTCAAAAACTGATTGCAGGTGAGGCCGTTACTATGAGTGCAAGAATTATGAAAGAAAAACCACCACCAAACCTAATATCACCAGCATGCTCTTGTATATTCTTTCATCATTATCTACTTTCTTGTCAACATATTCTCCATGAGCATCTTTTTGGTCCTAATAAATTACTAATGATTAATGTTTGGGAGGAATTTCAACAAATATTCATGAAGACCAGGTTTGAAGTATATAAGTGCTGTGAAATGATTGAAACATTTGAGCCTATTCAGACTCAAGTGGAGAGAGAGATGGAGATGTAAAGGTTGCAGATAGGTGAGCTTTTAGAAAGGGTATGGGATAAGTATTGGAAAATTGAGAATGAAGGTGATAATAACATTACTAAAGTATTTATTATATGTTTAGATAAGTCATTGGATCTAATTTTTAAAATTACAATATAATAGTTTATTATTTTACAAGTCAATTAATTTTATAATTATGTTTATTGCTATTATTTTTTACAAAAAAATAAATATGCTTTATTCTGATCATTATGAGCTTTATTCTAATCGTTATGAGCTTTATTCTCAATTATTAATCAATCAATATTATGGTCATCTATTGATCAAAATTATTTAGCCAATCATTACTTATCACGTGTATTTTTTACATTTACTTATCATGTATATTTTTCATATGATTTGAATTCGGATTAAATCCAAAATCACATGATACTACCTGACTTTAGTGGACTTCTATAATTGGTTAATCAATATTATCACGTAAATAAACTTTTCCTAATTGGTTAATAAATTTCTAACATTAGGATTTTAATGGTCAAAACTTGGATGAAACTATATATGGAACTGTACACTTTTTGATGTAAATTTAATCCATAGTTTATTTTTGGATGAAATCAAGGACTAAAATAGTTTTTTTTAGTTTTTTAGTAATATTTAGCCTTATTTTTGCCAAAGGGAAAATCTACTCTGTTTGACTAGTAAATGTGATGTAATTTACATAGCTTGATAATTAACTTTACCTTTTACTTTATGCTTTCAAATAGAGTGTTTCTTTACTACTTTAGTCTTATATGCATGTATAACTTCTATTTCTGAACTAGATGTAAAAGAATTACTTGAATCACTGTCTGAAGTATCTGAATTAGAAGTGTTAAAATCTTTCAATTCTCTGGGAAGTATTTTGTAAAAATCATGAATATCTCTTTTATTAACAGATACTATTACTCTCTCCCCTTTCTTCTCAGTTAGGTTTTTAATATGCAAAGTTGTTCTTACCTAGATATCTTCTGCATTGGTTACTATTTCTGATATATAAGTCTGGAGCTCATCATCATTATATTTGTGTCCATAGAACTAATTATTATCAAGTAATATATAATTAGATAATGTAAAGTTATATCTATCAACCAGTACTTCAGATAGAATCATGATAGATTTTTTATTATTAAGACGGGCATTATTTTTTATGTTAGAGATAAATGTAAGTGGGATTATGACTAATCCAAGTGGAGCTGTGATTTCTTCTCTGATAAATTTATTATCTTTCTTTTCAGAAGTCAATTTTCTGCTAATTTTGCCACTGATTTTCTTAAGAAGTTTATCACTACACATAAATATTTCCAAAAATCCTGGTTCAAGGTGATAATTAACTTTCTGCATTCCTACTTTAGCTTTGACTATCTTTACTTTTATACTAAGTTATATTACACGATGTATAATATAATTGAAAAAATAACTTGGTAAATAATTACCTATTCTTCAATATTAAGTAAAATTATTTGTAAACTATGAATGATTAAGATTAATCTCACTAATCTCTCTAATATAATTACTGAATGCAGAAATAAGATCTGTTTCATCTGAATAATTAGGATATTTGATTTTAATTTTAGAATTAAGTTTTTTCATCACTTTTTCACTAATCTTTTTACACCTCTCCAAACTAAGATATTTCAAATTAGTACAGTTACAGGATATTTTCTTGATAGCTTTATTATCAATTGAATAATAGCTAAGCTCAAGATGTTTAAGTTTTGGGCACAAGTGAGTAATTTTAGTGATACATCGATTAGTAAGACATATGCATGAATTAAGACTCAGATATTATAGTTTTGGAGAAAATCTCGCAATTTTTATAATTGGTATATTAGTGAAACCCTTACTTTTATCAAGAATGAAAATACATATATCTGAACATAAATGTAAAATTGCACTAATCAATACGTCTGAGATTTTTAAACCTTCTAATCTGAGATATATCATTTTGGCACAATAGGTTAGCTTTATCTTTTCACACATAACTTTTTTAAAGTTTATCAATTGTCAAGTAAGAGCTTGAGGTATCTTATGACTATGCTAATCTCTCTGATAATCTTTATTGAAAAACTTAACGTGATGCCATAGAATAGGAGTACTGCAATGATACCAAAGATGGTTAATAAACAAAGTGGAATAGAGGGATCGATCAATTTCTAAAAAATATAAGATATATTCTAATAGTTCAGATATATTAAATATATTTAGTTGTGTCATTCTCAAGTAATATATTATTATATATCTTTAATCGAAAAATAAATCTTTAATAGATAATTACTCATCTTATTTATCTTAACTGGAAAGACTCTTCAATATACTGTAACCAATTAGCTTATTTATGTGGCGCAGTAGATGCGGCACAGCATATGGCATAGCCACAGCATGTGGCGCAGTAATTACCAATTACTACTAAATCGGATGAATAAGTAATTTATATTAATTAATTTAATTTATTATTAATTCTATTTTTAATTCATATTATTACCTATATTTAATCTTATTCAAATATTAATTTAGCTATGTATGTCGTACTTAATTTATAGTTTAATTAAATTAATAATTTCCTTATTAATTATATTTATCTTTTCTTTTTTTTCTTAAATTATCTTTAAATAATTTAATGTTTCACTAATTTAAATTCTTTATTATCATGTATTTAATATTCTTTGTGATTATTCT